TGACAACCAAGTGAAAGCCTTTACTGGACACATCCTTAATCTACAACAAGAACACATTCCTCACCGGCAATATGTGACGAAGCCTACAGATCAGCCTTGGTTTGGCTTTCGTTGTAAAAGAGGCTGCTACTGCTAAGTACAAAGCATGGCGAAGGTTTAAGAGACATCCTACCACCTATAACAGGAACTTTCACATGCAAGCCTGTAGGCATATGGGAGATGTTCAAAAGTGGGCCATTGCTAAATGGGAGGTGGACACTAAAAGAAAGCTAGCATCAGGTAGGGTAGGCTCCAAAACCTGGTGGTCCCTGGTCAAGGACAGACAAGGTTATCTGCCTGATGAACTTATTCCACCTCTAAATCAACAGGATGGGGGCCACCTCTACTAGTAGTCAAGAGAAGGCGGACCCTTTTGCTGAACACTTTGCTACCAAAATGAAAGTTCTGATCCAGCAAGGGACCCTCCTTGGCTTTGCTGCAAGAACTGTGTCAAAACTGTCAGTGGTGACAATAAGGCAGGAGGGGGGTTTTCATTTCCTTCTTAAATCGCCTTGACCAACAAAAGGCTGTGGGCCCAGACAAGTTGAGCCCCAAAATTGTTGAGAAGATGTGCAGACCAGCTAGCAGCACCTCTAACTTGCATCTTTTTAGCACTGCCTAGTATAGTGTAAATGGCCCTCCTTTTATGGAAAGAGGCAAATGTAGTCCTGTTCACCAAAAAGAAGAGCAGAGCAGAAATCAGCAACTACAGACCAGTGTCACTCCTGTCAATCACTGGTAAGATCCTTGAGACAATAATCTCAAGACAAATGACAAGAGTTTTTTGATACCACTCACTACTTTGTGATCGTCAATATGGCTTCAGGAAAGGTTACTTGCTGCGGATCTGTTGTTAAACCTCTCCACTAGGGCACCAGTCACTGGATGAATCCCAAAGTCAGCTGTGTGGTAGCACTGGACATTGCTGGCGCTTTCGACCGGGTGTGGCATCAGGGCCCTTAGCAAAACTTCAAAGCACTGGGAATTGCAAGGCTCTCTTTGCTATGTCTCCTCAGTGATTACCTTATGGTAGATCTCTAAGTGTAGTCTCAAGACGGGATCAGCAAGACATCCTATTGGGGCAAGGTCCCCAGGAAGCGTGCTGGGTTCCATTGTTATGGAATGTCTACTTCAAACGACCTTCTTCATCTCATCCAGAATCACATGCATATTGCAGAACGACTGTACACTGACCATTCACCTTATCCAAGAGAAGAAAATGCCAGCTGCTCTAGCTACATCAATCACCAGCTGGAGAGCTATATCAGCTTGGGGAATTAGATGGCAAGTAACATTTGCACCTGAGAAAACGCAATGAATGATCGTCTCTAGGGCACCCATGTGTAATGCTGGATGCCGTAGTAAGGATGAATGGGAGGATGTTGGGCACCTGGTGAAGAACGTGATATCCTTGGGGTGAAATTTGACCCAAACTAACCTGAAGAAACATGTTTGTAAATCTTGCAAACAAGGACAGCCAGGGGAAGCTTACAGCACTTCACGTATCTACCATCTGGTCTTGACAGTAGGGGTTTGCAAGATCCTGGTTACGAGGCACAAGTTACGTCGCACCTTGAGTATGCTTCACTTCTTGGTTTGCTGGCCCCCCTCTCATCTGCGACTGTTGACAGGAGTAGGCAGAGACAGTAGCAAGACGTCTCATCTCTCGCCTGGACCATCCTGGATAGATCTGTATTTCAGCAGAGCCTTCAAATAGGAGGGATCTTCAGTCGGATACAGAAAGTAGCAGGAACAGTGAGATGCTTGAAGACGATGTAATCAGTCCATCACCCTTGAAGTCGTAGAATTTGAAGGTCATTGGAATTTGAAGTCGTAGATTCTCACGACTTCAAGGGTGATGGGGGGGGAACGTGATTTACATCAGTCTTCACATTCTCATACTGTTTCCTGCCTACTTTCTGTTTTGACTGAAGAAGCTACTGCTGTAATAGGAGGGATGTGGCGTGGCCTTACTGTTTGTACAAGGCAATATTGTCAAAATACCCACTTGGATCCATTCGAGGACAGCGTGAAACAGCTTTTATGCAGCAAGGCGGCGGCAGAGAGCAGCAACTTCACTTGGCTGTACCGCTTCTCCAGAACATCAACTCCATCTGAGATCTTTACCAGGATGACTAGAGTATGGAACAATTCGTGACAGCATAATGATGTCAACGAGATAAAGTCAGTGATCAAATGAAAATGCTGGGCCCAAGATGGCTCCACTTCATCCTTTCTCCTACTTGTATGTCTCATAACAATAAAATAAATGCTTTCAAATGAGCTGATGTAGAGTAACAGCTCTTAGCTTGCCAATTAAAGCTAGGGGTCCTTAACCTGTAAATAGCTCTCAATAAAGCTAGGGATCCTTAACCTGTCTCAAACCCTTGTACAAAGAGAGAGAGAGAGAGAGAGAGAGAGGAGAGAGGGAGAGAGAGGAGAAGATGAGAGAGAGAGTGAGAGAGAGGAGAGAGAGAGAGAGAGATGAGAGTAAGAGGAGAGGAGAGGGAGATGAGACAGTGAGAGACAGAGAAGAAGAAGAGAGGACAGAGACAGAGAGAGAGAGAGAGACAGAGAGAGTGAGACAGGAGAGAGAGAGACAGGGAGGAGAGAGGAGACAGAGAAAGAGAGAGAGACAGAGAGAGAGAGAGAGAGGAGAGAGAGAGGATGAGAGAGAGAGAGAGAGAGGAGAGAGAGAGAGCAGAGGAGAGAGAGAGAGACAGAGAGAGAGAGAGAGAGAGGAAGAGAGAGAGAGAGAGAGAGAGAGAGAGAAGAGACGAGAGTGAGGAGAGAGAGAGAGAGGAGACAGACAGAGGAGAGAGAGAGGAGAGAATGAGAAGAGAGAGAGAGAGGAGAGAGAGAGAGAGAGAGAGAGAGAGAGAGAGAAGCGAGAGGAGGTGAGAGACGAGCCAGAGAGAGAGAGAGAGACAGAGAGAGGACAGAGAGAGAGAGAGAAGGAGGTGAGATGTGATGAGAGAGACAGAGGAGAGAGAGACAGAGAGAGAGAGACCAGAGGAGAGAGAGAAGATGAGGAGAGAGAGAGGGACAGAGAGAGACAGAGAGGAGAGAGGACAGAGAGAGAGAGGAGAAGAGAGAGAGAGAGAGAGACAGAGAGAGAAGACAGAGAGAGTGAGACAGAGAGCGGAGAGAGACAGAGAGCAGAGAGAGGAGAGAGACAGAGGAGAGACAGAGGAGAGAGAGACAGAGAGAGAGAGACAGAGAGAGAGACAGAGAAGAGACAGAGAGCGAGACAGAGGAGAGAGAAGACGAGGAGAGAGAACAGATGAGAAGACGAGAGAGTGGACAGAGTGATGAGAGAGCAGAGAGAGTGAGACAGAGGAGAGAGACAGAAGACAGAATGAGAGAGAGAGAGGACAGGACAGAGAGAGAGAGAGAGGAGAAGAGGAGATGAGAGAGAGAGAGAGAGAGGAAGAGAGGAGAGAGACCAGAGAGAAGAAGAGACATTGAGAGAGAGAGACAGAGAGAGAGAGACAGAGAGAGAGAGGACAGAGAGAGAGAGACAGAGAGAGAGGAGAGAGAGAGAGGAGAGAGAGAGAGAGAGGAGGAGAGGAGAGAGAGACAGACGAGAGAGAGTGAGGAGAGAGACGCGAGACAGAGAGAGAGAGAGAGAGGAGAGTAACACGAGAGAGAGAGATGAGAGAGAGAGAGAGACAGACATAGACAGACAGACGACAGAGAGAGAGATGAGACAGGAGAGAGAGAAGGGGCAGAGAGAGGAGAGAGGTGAGGAGAGAGAGAGAGAGAGAGAGAGAGAGAAAAGGAGAGAGAGAAGATAGAGAGTGAGAGAGAGAGAGAGAGAGAGAAGAGAGAGAGAGGAGAGGAGAGACAGAGAGAGAGAGAGGAGTGAGAGAGGACAGAGAGAGAGAGACAGAGAGAGACAGAGAGAGAAATGAGAGAGGGAGTGAGAGAGAGATAGAGACAGAGAGAGGAGAGAGATGAGATAGAGAGAGAGGAAGAGAGAGGAGAGAGAGACAGAGGAGAAGAGAGACAGAGGAGAGACAGGAGAGAGAGAGAGACAGAGAGAGAGACAGACAGAGAGTGAGAGACAGAGAGAGTAGAGAGACAGAGGAGAGAGAGAGACAGAGAGGAGACAGATGAGAGAGAGAGGAGAGAGAGAGACAGAGAGAGAGAGAGACAGAGAGAGGGAGAGGACAGAGAGAGTGAGTACAGAGAGAGAGAGAGGACAGAGAGAGTGAGACAGAGAGAAGAGACACGGAGATGAGAGGAGAGAGAGATGAGAGAGAGGACAGAAGAGAGGGAGGATGATGAGAGAGAGGGACGAGAGTGGAGAGAGAGAGATGAGTGGGTGAGAGAGGCGTGAGAGGAGAGAGAGAGAGAGAGAGACAGAGAGAGTAGAGGAGAGGAGAGAGACAGAGAGAGAGAGAGAGAGAGTGAGAGAGGAGAGAGAGACGAGAAGAGGAGAGATGAGAGAGAGAGAGAGAGAGAGAGGAGAGATGATGAGAGAGGAGAGGAGAGAGAGAGTCAGACGACAGGAGAGAGAGAGAGAGAGAGAGACAGAGAAGAGGAGGGAAGAGAGAGATAGATGAGAGAGAGAGAAGAGAGAGACAGAGAGGAGAGACAGAGATGAGAGAGACCCCAGAGACAGAGAGAGAGAGGAGACAGAAGAGAGAGAGAGACAGAGAGAAGAGAGAGAGGAGAGCAGAGAGAGAGGAGAGAGAGAGAGAGAGAGAGAGAACTGAGAGGAGAGAGAATGACGGAGCAGAGAAGAGACGAGACAGATGAGAGAGAGAGAGAGAGACAGACAGACAGAGAGACAGAGAGACAGACAGACAGACAGACAGACAGAGAGACAGACAGACAGAGACAGAGAGACAGACAGAGAGACAGACAGACAGAGAGACAGACAGACTTGGGATTAAGTCAGGAAGCTCCAACCTTTTTGTACAATTTGGCAATGGGTAAAAATAAAACAGGTTCAGTTTTTCAATGGTAATAAAAATATATTTTACAAAAGTTAAACAGAAACAGAAGAGGTACCATATATGTATACACATATACGTCCACTATCACAACTGGCATTGCTTTGTGATCCTACAAAACTTAAAATTCCAAACATGGTAGGATTTGCAAATGAATCCTGAATGATACACTTAAATTCTTCTATCTTACTCTTAATATTAATGTCAATATAAAAATTCATGACTTATGTGAAATATAGTACTACAAAATTAACAAAAATTTCTCCTGGTTAATTCCAAATGTAGGAAGAAATGTGTTAAATGAATATTTAGTGTATATGATACATGGCACAACTAGCCCTCAGAGAGAAAATAAAAAAAAAAAATTATAAGAGTACAGCTTATGCCTTTCGTCCAGCATTAACAATTTTTTTTTTCAAGCAAGACAGCTACTAAATACCCAAATTTTAGTGTATGAAATTGAAATGGAATCCCCCTATTCATAACATTGCATCTATGGGAAATAAGGGTTCAACTTGCAATGGCTCTCCTGGAACCAATTAAATTGCAATTGCTGGGAGTCACATGTACCGTACTGTATAATTTGGCCAACCACTGAGGCCCTCTTCAATAGATTTCTCAAGTGGCAATATAGGATACACTTTTTATCTTCAGTCTAATTTCTCCACGAGGGTTTGTTGTGCCACTGATCAGTGTTTCTTACACTTTTGTGTTGTTTGGTTATAGTGTATCAATGATACAATTCATTTGATATGATGCATGAAGTTGTAACCACAAACATAATGAGTAATAAAAGCTAAATGTGTATATGACAATGTTTCTGAGTTTCTGGTACATGGCATCACCATGAATGGTTAAATACTTCATGGTTAGTTACAACCGGACACAAATGGATCCTCTATCTAATTTCAACATTTCTTGAGCTACTGCTACTGTACTTTAAAACAATTTTGAATATTAAAAAACATCATAGTTGGTATATATGCATTTATATACTGATTTTCAGTTTGCTTCTAAGATAAATTTTTCACTACTTTTTAAAGTTTTATAGCCAAGGAAAGAGTAAGGCCGAACTTATAATGTTAATATATTCCTGAAAACTGTAAATTACTTGGACTATATTTGCCCATGTCATAATTGGAGATGTGTTCCTTAGCTGTTATATTCTTTATCTAATTTCAGGCAAGACAGCTATTAATGAACAATGATGAATGAGTTTCCTTTATTCTTTGGTAACCCTACCTCTGTGGAAGATGGCTGATGTGTTACAAAAAAATATAAATAGAAACTATGTACATTATTCAGATAAGTGAAGGTTAAGACACATGTGCAACATCTGGATATCTTTATTGTAGTAGACGTTTCGCCATCCAGTGGCTTTATCAATACAGATGTGAACGTAGATCTGCTTGGACCGTTTACGGGTTAAAAGTCAAGAAGCTTTTATGAAAATATATAAATGTTTCAAGTTTCAGGTAAATACAAAAAACAGGAACTTACTAAAATAAAATAAATTTTACAATCACTTTTCTCAATAAATAAAAAAAATATTACTAATTCAGTATTACAAAATACAGTGTATGTCACCGGTTCAAATCAATGAGACAGAACAGTTTACACAGTATCTAACGTCACTCAGCATAGAAGCAATGATTACACTTATGGCAATACATATCTGCAGAAGTGTGTTACCATCATGACCAAACTGAGGCATCAATCTAAGTTACATATACCATTCTTTGAATCATGAGCAAGCAAACAACAAAAATTTTCCAGTCTGTCAATGAGAAATTTTTCTTTACCAGGAGAGAAAGTCTAGAAAGACAAATACAGTTCTGTATATAAATATATATTTTATATATAAAATATATAAATTAATATATATTTATATAAAAATAAAAGATTCTCTACTATTCTAGTTTACACACAGAAAGAAACTTATGTTTAATTTTTAAAGTATATAAAAACCTTTTAAAAATCATAAAAATTCATGATATTGTACTGTAGTTCAATAATACAAATATACTGTACTCTCATTTTCACGATTACAGTGCTTACAAATGTACGTATTAGGGTGAAAGAAAATCAGAATAATGTATACTACAAAAAATAAAAAAAAATATAAATTACAAATGAACAAGCACTGTTTAAATATTTTTTTCTTTTTTTGAGTGTGAAAAAGAAAATACTGTAGTTGTAAAATTCATAATCAAAAGTATGTGATGTGTGTTTCTTTTCACTGGTTTTTCTTGAAAGAAAATATTATTTCAAACTTACAGTTCATGAACAGCCAAACCTATTGTTAACATTCACATAGGTTTCTTACATAGTAAGAAACTTATGTGAATGTTAACAATAGCATGTATATGAAACACTGATCATCTTCAAGCTGTCACTCATGTACACACACTATATATATTCTTCAGTAAATAAAAAGTATAAAACTCAAGCTACAGTTTCCATTTAAAAAAATACAAAACATTCACTTATATCATTGAGTTTTGCATTCCTCCCCATGGGCTGCTGAACATGGAGCTTTCGAGCGAGTGACGACATTTGAGGATCTGTGACTGTGAGAACGTCTACTACTGACGTGAATAGGACTGTTGGGGTTCAAGTATTTGAGAGGGCCACCCTCCTAAGAAAAGATAAGTAACATACAATCAAAATATGGTTAGAAAACAAATGGCTCACCTATGTGCAAGAACAGTGTCAATAAGATATTTTAAAACTAATAAGCAGATACAGTACTTTATGAAATCCTGCTAGATCTTGGGAACTATCATAGAATTTTCAATTATACACTACTTCAGAAACAGTGGTAGCACCAAGGGGAGCTTTGGGATGCTTCTCCCAATTAAAAATAGAAATAGCAACAACCACTTCAAAACAAGTCTCCTAGCCCCCTTCCAACCATATAGCCACCCCTAAGCTCCTCAGGATAGAAATTCTAGCATTGCCCCTGTTCAGAAATCAATACAAAAGTAAATTACTTATTCTAAAGCCAGTGAATATAACAGAAGTCCCAAAGATAGAAATAATAATGATATAATCTTCACTAATAATTACCTGCAAGGTTATTATTTGTCCACATAAAACTGAATCCATCCCCACAGTATAACAGCTAGTGGCCGCAACACCTACACTATCAATCCATACCCATTATGTTATTTCCAGTTATAGTAAAGTCTGGAAAAGGAGAAAGGTATAGAAAGGAAAACAAGAAAAATAGAGCAAATACCAATAACTAACATAAAAGCAACTCAAATTTATGACACTAAAGTATACTGAAATGCAATTATAAAGATATTTTTGTCTGTATCCGGCACACATTATTATTGTTTACACTATTTACTCAAGGAAAAAAAAAATCACAATTTGTTTTAAATGTGATTATCTTTTTACATTTTTTTTTTAACTTTACAGAACTTTTAATTTAAAATGAACCTAGTCAATTCTGCTCATGGTATTTAACATGAAAAAAACTCTCAGTAATCTAAGAAGTTATACATACACATGAACCATCACATGTACAATGTGAATACAGCTGGTATATACTGCAAACCAGTAGATAAAGACTGGGAAAGACCTGAATGTTACCTCTAGATTCAGATAAAAATTTAGTTTATAGACATTATACTAACCTGTAACTTTTCACCAGCTCTCATTTTCTTGGCCAAGGTGGTTGATCTCTGTACTACTCCAGGGCTCTCTAGATCAGAGGGCAAATCATTCAGTCCTATTAAGAGCATGTAAAAGATAAATAATCACAGAGGGACAATATTAATCACACTCTAAACACCCCAACAATCTGTTTTGTATCATGTTTGTTAAAGCCACATGAGACCAGAACACATGCTTGTCCCAGTAAAACTTTGAAATTTGATTCTTTTTTTTTTTTTTTAACATGGTTGTGCAAATATTTAATTGTCTATTAGAGCTGGGGATGAGTCGAGCTCTAGCTCCTGGCTGAACCTTGTAGCTTTCAACTGACTGATGCAATCAAGAGCAGCCATAAGTATTTTTGAACCCATCTATAATCTGCTTCCTAATGCCATTGACTAGTTCGTTCTGTTTCTTTACCAGTCTTTTGTACTTGTTACATTCCTGGTAGAGTTTATCCTTGTTCATCCTGTCTTCTTATATTATAGTAATAATCTCCCTTGTACTTCATTTCCCCAATTGCCAATAGGCCTAGTTTCCACAATCTTTCTTTGAAACCTATTCTTGAGTATACAAACCAGTGTGGAACCCTCAAGTCAAATACAAAGTGAAATTTGGACAAATCAAATATAATGCAGCCAAATGATGTCTGAGTTCTGAAAAAAGAATGAGGGATGGGTGTCTTGTATCTATAACACCAGAGAATATTATGACAAATATTCCAGGGCAAAGACAAGGATAGAACATTAAGGGCATGGGTGGAAGTTACACATCCATCAGAGGCACAGGAACATCCCAAAACTTCCATATGAAAATAAAAAAAATTGGAAGACTTAAACAACACTGTGGAAGCTGACTATACAATAGAAAACTAATTAAGATGTGATCTATTAGTACATTTTTGCTATATGACGGTAAAAAAAATGCAATTTTTCGATCATCTCACTATGATGCTCATTTATGACAGTATTAATTTAGGGGAAAAATATAGAATGCTGTAGGAGCTTTCCTTGCATCCAGCCTGCAGGTCAAGCCAGTCTTTGTGGGCGAGGCCTAGCTGCAGCCTAGCCTCAGTTCTCTGTGCACACGAATCCCATACTGTGCTCAGCTGTGTTACTGAACTGCTTTTTAATATTTTCATCATATCTAGTGTGTAGATAGTAACCATTATACTCAAGAAGGATGGAAGTGATGCAGGAAGTGGCATGAAAGTCCTGGTATTTAAAAAAAAAAATTCAGGATCATAGATAAGTTTAAAAGTGGTGCCCCTGTGATTGACAGCCTGTGGTCTCAATGAGGCATCAGTTAGTTCAATTAAAAGGAATGAAAAGATAATAACTTGTGCAATAAGTAGTTTAGGTTGTGACCTCCTGAAAAGAATGACACACAGGTCATAACAGCTAAATAAGATGGAAAAATTACTGAGGAAGTGGATTGAGTAGAAAACCAAAAAAGTACCACCACTTAATTTCATCCTTATAAAGAAAGAAAGCTTAAAGTACTATCAAACTGTGTGTGAGGAAGGCCTGGCAAGAGTATCTGTTTAGTACAGGCTAGTTCCAAAAGTGTAAACTGCACAATTGGTTGCATATTAAATTTTCTAGTGTAAGTGCTTCTGCTGACCACATGGCTGCAGGAAATTCCCTAATGAATTGGAGGAAATTATTTCTCAGGGTGGCCATGAGCCACAGTAAGTGTCTAATGCTGATGAGATAAGTCTTTATTGTATTTACTGACTGGTTTAACCCCTTGACTGTTGGAATCCCAAATCCTGAGGTGTCTCCTGGTGTCGCAAAATTTCCATAAAAATTTTTTTTTTCTTATGAAATGATAGAGAATCTTTTCCCAATTGTAATGACACCAAAAGAACGAAATTTGATGGAAAACTGTCAGAATTACGCTTTTCCAAAGTTAGCGACCTCGGCGATTTCGCCCACTTTGAGCCCTATTTTCAGCTAATTCCAATGTTCCAATCGACCAAACTCATAGCTATTTCTTTAGAACTCCATTTTTTCTATTGATTGAGTACAAGAAACTGCCCATTTACCGATTTCAACTACCCAATAATGCGGTCAGAAATTTGCAATTTGGCCAATTTCATGAAAATTAAAAAATATGACAATTTCAAAATAGGGTCCAGAATGAACAATGCAGACATTCCTGGCTCTAAAATAACATTTTCTTTGTTTGTCAGTTACGTCTCCAGACCCCTCTGATATTACTCTTGCTTTCTATTTTGAATTTTTACTCAAAAAATAGAAGATTTACTGTTATGCAGACTACTGCAATATTATAATAATTGTATAAATAACATCAACCCATTCATGACCGCATATTAGAATGGCTAGTTTGCCATTTATTTGAAAATGACATCATTTGTTTACCTTTGAACATAGGCAAAAATCAAACATTTAACCTACTTTGAGCTCCATTTCAAGGTTCTTTTCATAGTAAAACCAATCAAAATCGCCTCTATTTCTATAAAATGTTTTCCATTCCATCAAATGAGACCAAGAAAACGAGAATACAACCATAAATACTATACAAAAATAGACCACAAAGTTGGCATTTTAATTAAAAAAAAAAATGGTCAGTTTTTTTTCTCATTATGCACTGGGTGCTGTAGGATTTTTTTATATGGTGCACACTGACCACACAGACCCATTCTCTCACATGTGGGCCTACCAGCTTTCTCCTGCTTCATTTGAAGAACCTTGAATTCAAGGTTCTCTTCACTCTTGGTAATTCACATACTCTTCCAAAATACTTGGTGGATGTGCATTTACACGTAAAGGTTGTTTTTTTACCACCAAGTATAACTACACACGAAAAGTGATGCAGAAACTCACTGAAGCAATGGATGCTAACACAGTGCTTGGAGTGCCAGACTTCGAGTGTAAACTAAACATTACAGATGCCATTAATGTGCCAATCAACATAAAATGGCCTAGAGTGATGAGTATTTTCAGTTTCCTCAGTTGAGAACCAGGTCCAGAAAACTGTTCAACTGGTAAGGAGATTGCCAGGTGTGGGCTTTGAAGATATGCAGGAAGATGATGTAAATGAACTGTTAGATGATGAGGAAGAAAAATCCACAGGAAATGGTGGCAGACCTCAATGCCCAAATACAAGGGAAACAGATAACAGATGAGGATGATGAAGAACCTACAGAGAAACAGCTAATGCTACAACAGTTACATGAGAACTTCCATGATATCAGTAAATTTGCAGACTTTTTCAATGAAGAGAACCCTGACCAAGATAAAAGCACTGCTCTGTAATGGGATCATGTGATGTCTTACCATCAGCTGTGTAAAGTACTGCACAGCAAAAACAGACCAAAAATGCATTGCAGAATTCCCCAATAATCCAGTACAACCATCAGTATCAGTACAAGGACCTCAGCGAACAATTCACAACCTTCCACCTCAGCCCAGAAGGGCCACATTATCCCTCTCCATTCCTTTCAGAATCAATGGCATACACCAGCAGCCAGAATTTAAGGCAAGAAATATTATTTATGTAACCTTTTAGCCATAAGTATTGTATTATATATAATGCATCACTACACTACATCCACCTATATAAGAGTGTTGGTACTACTATACTTTCATACATTCCCTTCTTTGCCTCCATAGATAACATTTTTTGACTCCACATATACCTCAATGCACCACTCACCTTTTTTCCTTCATCAATTCTATGGTTAACCTCATCCTTCATAAATCCATCTGCCGACATGTCAACTCCCAAGTATCTGAAAACATTCACTTCTTCCATACTCCTCCTCCCCAATTTGATATCCAATTTTTCTTTATCTAAATCATTTGATACCCTCATCACCATACTCTTTTCTATGTTCACTTTCAACTTTCTACCTTTACACACACTCCCAAACTCATCCACTAACCTTTGCAATTTTTCTTTAGAATCTCCCATAAGCACAGTATCATCAGCAAAAAGTAACCGTGTCAATTCCCATTTTGTATTTGATTCCCCATAATTTAATCCCACCCCTCTCCCGAACACCCTAGCATTTACTTCTTTTACAACCCCATCTATAAATATATTAAACAACCATGGTGACATTACACATCCCTGTCTAAGACCTACTTTTACCGAGAAGTAGTCTCCCTCTCTTCTACACATCCTAACCTGAGCCTCACTATCCTCATAAAAACTCTTTACAGCATTTAGTAACTTACCACCTATTCCATATACTTGCAACATCTGCCACATTGCTCCCCTATCCACTCTATCATATGCCTTTTCTAAATCCATATATGTATATATTTTTTTTTTACAATTTCAAAACCTAAAAAAAATTGGTTTGCCATTATTGTGGAGCTGAGGAATAAACAGTCAACTGTATACAGATTAAAAAATAAGTAAATATGACAAGGCTAATTCATGTCATTTGCTCAAAAATTAAGGAGAGGGGGCCAAGAGTTAGAGTTGAGTTTTAACTATATAAATTATAAAAAGCAGGTAACTAATTAAAAGACAGATAAGCACACCAAGAGAAAAAAAAAATTATAGTACACAAGCAAATGAAAACATCTTGGTGTTACAGAAAATAATCCAAGGTGAATGTTACAATTACGACCGACTTGTTGAAAAAAAAAAAAAAAATGTAATTACATAGAATTGTTTATAGTAAAATAAGTGGGCATCATTCAATAAGTGCTCAAGCTACTGCATATATATTTTTTTACCTTTTTTTATTAACACATTGGCCATTTTCCACTGAAGAAGGGCAACCCAAAAAAGAAACACTCATCATCATTCACTCCACCTGTCTTGCCACGGGCACACCTACATTAGTTAAAAAACTGCAACATATCAATACTCCTTCACAATGCAGGCACTGTACCTCCCACTTCCAGGACTCAAGTCTGACTAACTGGTTTCCCTGAATCCCTTCATAAATGTTACTTTGCTCACACTCCAATAATACATCGTCATAAAAACCATTTGTCTCCACTCGATTTATTTATATTTAACATGCTCATGCATTTTTGCTAAAAGTGCAAGCACACACACACATACACATATTGCACTTACATAAAAATTATTATTATTACTATGATAAATTTAAGCACTAAACCCAAAAGGGTCACACAGCACAGCCTTTGTATAAGAATGGAAAAGCACAACTGAGGTTTTTTTTTTTTTTTTAGCAGAGGCCAGAGAAATAACCCAGCAAAAGCCAAGAGAATATCAGCATTATCACCAGTTATCAAGGTACCACCTCAATAGAAACTGTGTGTGTATTTAACTTACCTTTCTTCAACTTTGTTGAGAGGGTCTCTGCAAAGCCAGGCAACCCAGGTTTATCTGTGCCTGACCTGCGCTTTTTCTGACATTTTAAAGATGATGTGGAGGCAGAGACTCGCTTCATGGCTTGCTTCATGGTTTCATTATCTAAAGGAGCTGTACCACTTAAAAGGTCTGAGTGAGAACGCCGCATTCGCATTTTATTTTCATGAGATAACTTTATGCTAGACGTTCCATCCAAATTACCACCTCGAGATCTGCGTAATCTAGTTCGTCCTTCTTGAGGGCTGCTTGAAGAGGCTTTGGGCGAAGACGATGCAGAACTATTTAAGAGAGAGAGCATAGTCGCCCGACGTGTCACTGCACGTCGAGTAATTTGGTATGAGGAAGAATTCTTGGCTACTGGAGTCTGTGAACTGCCCACAATTTCTTGACTATCTGATCCTTGTGAAGGCTGAATGCCTGTTGCTTCTTTTATATGTGAAGATGATGCATCTGATATCACATTACTATTTCTTTTCTGTCTACCTGTCTCAGTTTGAGAAATTTCTTTACTATTATTAGATTTCAGCTTCTTTATTTGGGCTTGGAGAATTACAACCTTTGATTCCAAAGATTCATTTCTTTCTTCAAGATCAAGCATTTTATTTATTATCTGAAACAAAAGTGTCATTTTAAATCTATATTTTATATTGCTTTAAGTCACAAAAAATCATAAATATATTAGAGAATTCATTCCATTATCAACAACTGCACACTTATATTATACTACACTAAAAGTAAATTCATTCACCTCAATGTGCTTAGATGCCTCTTCCTCTGCTTCTGTGTTCTTTTTATTAAAACGGTTCTGCCAGTGAGCCACTTGTTGTGTCACTTTCTCCAGTTGTTTATGGTGACTGGTTGACCTTTCCTCTGCAATATTCACCTATGTAGAGAGTATTAATTAGATTTTATCTTGACCATTACATATTTTCTTTCACTACATTAAATATACAGTGGTACCTTGAGTTTGGGCCATAATTCATTCCAGAAGGCTGTTCGAGTGCCATTGCCGAATGAATTTGTTCCCATATGGAATAATGTAAATTGATTAGTCTGTTTCAGACCCCCAAAAATACACTAACAAAAGCACTTACAATAATACACTTACATAATTGTTCGAGTTGGGAGCTGTACGAAACTCTGGGTACCACTGTATTCTTGTTTCAACAAACCAGCCGTATCCCACCGAGGCGGGTTGCCCAAAAAGAAAAACAAGTTCCTCTTTTTAAATTTAGTAATATATACAGGAGAAGAGGTTAATAGTCTCTTGCTCCTGGCATTTTAGTTGCCTCTTACAACACACGTACATTAAATATATGTTCTGATTTAAAAAATTCTAAATTTATGCATACATTAGGTTTTTCTGTACATAATCTAGGCCATTAACTATTCAAAATTCCATGAATATTTTGTGTAATTTTCTTGCCCTGTACAGTATATTCAAAACATTAATAAAGCTTAAACATTTTGCAGCAAGGAGGAGGCTGGAGGCAGTGATGTCACGTTTGAGAAAAATGTGTGGTGTGAATATCAGGCGTAAAATTTCGAGTGTGGAGATTGGGAGATGGTGTGGGGTTACCCACAGTTTCAAGGTCAGAAATCAATAAAGCTAGTCAATTGGAGTTAAGAGGCAAGACCAGGAGCTATAACTTGAACCCTGCAAACTTAAAGTACCTCTACATATTTCTGTCAATTACCTCTTTTCCCATTTTAAGTTCTTTTTTTTTTAGTATTATATACGACTTTCTCTTATTCTCTTTTGTCTACTTTCTACTAGAATATGTTTGCTAAAGTAAGCCTCAGCCTGTCCACAAAGTCTTAAGAGAACAAACCCTGTAATTATTCAGTAAGTATTTTCTACAGAATCTTCCAGTGTGCCACACTTTCAAAACAAAGGTATTAAACTATCAAAATTTATAAGTGCTGAAATTTTAGAATTCAATTACTGTACTAAATGTGAAAATCGAAGCTAAGCTAAACAAATATCTTTAACATATTCTCTTTCAAGGTACAAGCCATGAGTTTTGCTTGCAACATCCAGTACCTAGTTGGAACTAGCAATTTATTTAGCAAATTACTAAAATATATACATTGCTCAGTTCAATTCCTTTGGACATGTATCCATTCACTTCACAATCATTCCAAAAATTTTTCACATGTTTAACCCTTTCATTGTCCAGAACCCCAAAATTAAAAGTGCTCACAGTGTCCACATTAAAAAAAAAAACTTCTGAAATGATAGAGAATCTTTTTCTGAAGGTAATGGAAACAAATGGTTTTTGGGGCCTGACAAGCTGCTGGTGTGTGAGCAGGGTAATATTTTGTGAAGGGATTCAGGGAAACCGGTTAGCCGGACTTGAGTCCTGGAAATGGGAAGTACAATGCCTACACTTTAAAGGAAGGGTTTGGGATATTGGCAGTTTGGGGGTTGACTTTTAAACTGTCGTATCTGAGCGCCTCTGCAATGACAGTGACTGTACGGGTGAGGTGAAAGTGTTGAATAATGATGAAAGCATTCTCTTTTTGGGGATTTTCTTTCTTTTTGGGTCACCCTGCTTCAGTGGGAGACAACTGATATGTTGAGAAAAAAAAAAGAAAAAAAAAAAAAGACTAGCAATACAAAATTTGATAGAAAACTTATAGAATTACTGAGATGCAAAGTTAGCAATCTGGGCACAATTTACAAAGACAATTTTGCCGAACGAATACTACAGTCATGCATTGCTTAATGATGGGGATACATTAAGAAATGCGTGGTTAGGCAATTTCGTCATTGTGGAAACGTCATAGAGTGTAAATACACAAACCTAGATGATATAGCCTACTTCACACCTAGGTTATATGATATATCCTACTGCTCCTAGGATACAAACCTTTACAGCATGTTATGTTACTGTACCGAATACTGTAGCCAACTGTTTATTTTTTCATCGTAGATTTGCTTGTAAGTAGATAATACACCATGAACATTCCTCTATTAATGAAAAAAACTGATGTTAAGGTTCATGTTTTCAAACTTTTTTTAGGAGCTTGCTGAGGTCTGCAAAAGCTGCTAAACCCTTCACTGTGAATCTTCTTTATGGTTCTTAGTCTTTTTTTTATCTTGCCTCTTTTTCAGGTATGGCAACATGGCAATGGATTTTGTATGCTTAGGGGCCATGATGAACCAAATAACACAAGATTAAATTAAGTACAAGGGAAAATGATACTATCAAGAGATGAGGTAAAAATGAGATGTATGAAGATGCTACCAGCATAACATAGCATACTACCTTACAGTAAACTTTTTTATGAATAGAAAGAGTACACTCTAGAATAACAATAAAAAGTACAGGTCTCCCTCAACATTCGCAAGGGTTAGGGGATCAAGAGCCTCACGAATGTTGAAGAATCACGAATGTTTGGTGCCCCAATATATTGTAGGGAAATATAATACAATACTGCTTCCTTATCCTACTGAACCATGAACAATCATAAAACACATGAAAACATTGTAAATATTGTACTAGTGCCAGCCCTTTGGTAAAGAAGGTGAGAAAGACCATAGAATTCAAGAAAGAACTCATAACAGAGTACCAAAGTGGAGGAGGAAGAGAGAGGAGAGAATGTGCCTTCTTCAGTGACTCTTCGATATGTATGATACTAAAGCAGCACTAGTCGATAAAGGCTATAGCACCAGCCAGCGATAAAGTGTAGCACTAACAGTGTAGCAAATAAGTTAAGCGATTAATCAATAGAAAAAGGACAGCACGAGCCTAACTCCTCCAATATTGTTGGAGTTATATAGGGTGACTGACAACACCGCCGTCTCTACCGCCTCCCACCACCACTACGTACGGTTTATTCTCTCAGTGGCCCTTAAACACCCAACCACTCATTACATACTTAATGACATATTTTTTTCATTCTAGAATACATGTCATGTTTCAATGTTATTAATATTATTTATTATGTGATATTAGACGAACTGTGATAGATAAATTTTTTTCATTCTAGAATACATGTCATGTTTCAATGTTATTAATATTATTTATTATGTGATATTAGACGAACTGTGATAGATAAATAAGCTGTAGAGTTGATATTAGTGTCATACTGAAGGACTATCTTGTCCTATCTCCAAACAAACTCTGCCACCACTACAATTCCTAACATATGTAATGACATATTTTAAATATGATTGGGCGGCTGGGAATTCGCGAATGTTCAAAGCCCGTGAAAGTGGAAAACACGAATATTGAGGGAGACCTGTACAATATTGTAAATATGTAACCCAGTAACATACAGCTTCTCCTCACTTAGCGACATACTCATTTACTGACTCCTCGGACTTATGACGGGCTCTCTGACCAGTATGCACACCTATATAATGCATATTAGAGCCGGTTTTCTCTATTCTGTTTATTACAATGTACAGTACACTACTGTATAAACATTTAAAAATATACCAGAAATGTTATAAATGGTACAAAGGTGACATTAAAACAATATCAAAGATGGGTGTGATATAAACTCACTACTATTATAGTATGCTCCTCACTTAGCAATGAATTCGTTTACCGATGTTGTCTTAGGAACAGAACTCCATCGTTAAGTGAGGAGAGGCTGTAGTTGTTTATCATCATTAACAAGTATTATGTACTGTATACAATTGTATGTGCTATACAGTGGATCCTCATTTTCGTAATTAATCCGTTCCAGAGTGTGACTAATGGCGAAATTGACGATTTGCAAAACCATTTTCCCCATAAGAAATAATGTAAATCCAATTAATCTGTTGCAGACCCCCAAAAGTATTAAAAAAATTTTTTTTTACATGAAATATAGATGTACATGCAACAGAAAACAATGAGACATGAAGAATAAAACAATAACAACATGACACTTACCTTTACTGAAGATTCTTCTTAGTGTATGGAAGACAGAAGGAGGGGAGAGGATGAAGAAATTACTGTTTGGAAGGGGAATCCCCTTCCACAGAGACTTCAGGTACTAAGTCCTTTTCTGGGGTTACTCCCTGTCCTTGTTTTTTAATGCTACTAGGACCAGCTTGAGTCACTGCACACCTGTGGCACTAAATATCTGTCCAGAGAGCTCTGTTTCTGGCATCTCTTTAAAATTTCCCTAAAATGGGACAAGACATTGTCATTGTACATATTGCTGACATGGCTTGCAACAGATTTGTTAAGGTGATGTACCTCCACAAATCTTTCCATCCTATTCCACAATGCACAAATCTCCATTACTACCACCATGACAACCACTACCACCCTCTACCACCATCACTACCACTTCCACCCTCTACCACCATCACAACCACTACCACCCTTTACCAACATCACTACCACCCTCTACCACTATCACTACCATCACCACTTCTGTATTTTTCTACTATCTTTTTCTTTAATTCTATTATGTTGTCACCTTCTTTACCAAAGGGCTGGCACTAGTTTTCTTTGGGCCCATGGTGGCTTATTTAGCAGTGTAGACAGCTTGTACTGTCAGAACACACAGCCTAGCCGTCTGCTCTGACTAGTTCATATTTCACGGCATTTAGGTGCTGCCCTCTGTAGGCTCACTCAGGTCAGTGGGAGGCTGAGCCCATCCGCCCTCACTCCTAGGCTGACCGACTTGATAGACACAAGTGCTCCCCCTCCACGGACTGGCTTGCGGTCATTCCCTCACACTGCCCGTTGTGTACTCACTCCTATCCAATTAAAGCCAAACTAGTCCACAGCCGTATCATTGCTACCTACGCTACCTTCATCGGCACTAAACCGCTGTTCAGCAGTAAGAACAGCAGTAACAGTGGTGACAGCGGAGTCAACGGCATTGTGAGCCTCTTCAGGGTGGTGGGGTCAACACCATCGGTCGACGCCAGTC